CTAGAACTCTTGGTCCAGTGCTCTTTTATTTTTAAACCACAGTGATAGGATCACAGCAAGGAGAATAAGGAAATTAGCTTTGATACATCAAATCATCCAGACTGATGCCAGGGCTTGACATTAGGGAAAATGGCTACACTAAAGCTATAATCACCTCCCACCCAGTAGGAGGAGTTAAGATGATGAAGGGAAAATGAAGGAATAGCCCGTGCAGTAGATAGAAAGGAAACCAAAACTGGTGAGGTAGCTTCCAAGGATGCTGGGTTACCCCCTGGGCGATGATAAGAAAAATGAAAGAGAAAGTCTATGCTTGAGTAACTGTGCCTTCCAGAGGACAGAGCTCCCAGAGTCCCCCCCTTCAAAGGTAAATCCCCAAAGACCTCTGGGCTAACCCTCTCCTGCAGGATTTGACATTGCTGGAACTTTGATCCCACATCCCTGATGCAGAGTGCCTGGGAAGATCATGTGCGAGATCCTGAGTTCACTTCAGATAGGCGCCTGTCACAAGGTCAGTGCTGACAAGGCTGAGGGGCAAAGTTGGGCCTGGCCTCTCCGGCTACAAGATCCTTTGTGCAGAGGGACCCAGCTCTCAAGTGATCATGACTATTGCAGTCATGTAAGAAAAGAGATTCCTCCGCATTATGTAGCTGATTCCCTTGCAGGTAAATGATCGACGATTCAGCATAGATGGATGTTTGCCATCTGTGGTGTTTGGTTACAAAGTTCCTAACATCTGCTCCTCAGTAGACAAGCTGACATAACAACCCAAGTACTTTGACTTCTTTTCCCAGATCCCAATCTCACTTGGAAATGGAAAACAAGATTGAGAGAGGGAGAGGTGCGCCTCATACCCACCAGAGGAAGTTAGCCCAGGATGTAGGCTCAAGGGCAGCTACTGCCCAAGATTGTTCCCCTGAGGACAGTACATACTCTGCTTGGTGCAGAAGCTGCCCAGAGGTCCCTGACTGTGCCCGTCTGCCTAGGTGTCCTGGGAAGAGGTGAAGAATGATGGTGGGAGAGGTGAAGGGCCTTGCACCTCGAGGTGGCTGACCGCATTGGGGACTACGTCCAGCAGCATGGTGAGGAACAGAACCAGCCTCCCAGCAGCCATCCAACTGCCCTCTGTCCTAAAGTTGAAACTTTCTGTGTATGTATGTAGGAGAGTGGGAGTGTATGTATATGTACACACACATGTATGGGCAACTAGAGTCCAGGCAAGAAGATCAACCCCCTTACCTTTTTTTTTTTTGTTTGCTTGTCAGCTCCTCTCACTCACAAATCTGTCTCCCTAGGGGTATCCCCAGGAACAGCTTGATCCAGGATCCAAACTATCCCAAAACAAGCAGGCCTTGAGGGCTGGAGACCTGAAACTGTTTCTTGAGTATCTGACTTCATTTGGGCATTGATGACAAAGTGAGTCAAGTTGGGATGGATCCCTTCTGAGCTCTGGGCTTCAGATCTCAACTTAATCTGGCACTGACCATGTTCTTATCTCCACAGATCTCCTTTGACCTTAGCCTTGCCCGAGGCTGATTACTACACTGGGGTGATCGGCGGTGAGTGGTGGCAAGAAGCAGACCCCAGCCCAGGCAGGAGGTGAGCCTTGTAGAGCAGGTCGCTGAGGCTGTGCCATGATATCAGTTATTAGGTGGCAGGTATGTCGGGCCCTAAAAGCTTATGTGCATGTGTAAAAGAAAGCCCTGAAGTGATTCGTGGCTATGATGTTTATTACAGAGCTGGGAAAGACTAGAGAAGAGGTCTGACAAGAAGAAGAAGATGTTAAGAGAAAGCCTAGTTATCCCCACCCTTAGGAAAGAGGGTGGAAGCTGCTTTTGTGGTGGTAATACTCAATAAAAGAAATGGTGGTGATTATTATTCGTTGACAGATTTCACCCTGGCTATAGGTCACTGGCCATGGATCTTTAATCCATCTTTCTCCACTAAATCCTTGCCTGGGTCTCTGCTTCCTTCAGGGCTGCTGCCAAACGTGTGGGCTGCTGTATCCAAGACTTCTAGATCTTCCTCATGATACAACATCACTTAACATTTTATGCCTGTGCCAGGCATTGTGCTTGTGCTTTTCATGCATTATCAAATATAATTCTTACCACAGCCCTGTGAGTAGCTAATTTTATTAATTGCATTTTCTAAATGAGGAAATCAGAAGCATTATGACTGCAAACAACAATTTGCTTAAGGCCATGAAACTTGCAAGTGGTAGAGTCAGAATTTGAATCCACGAGTCTGACTCCAAGAAAGTTCAAGCACTAACCACATTGTAATATTGTCTCTAAATGGGAAGCATGTGTCTGAGGCTCCTGTGGATCCCCTTCACACATGGCTACCGTGACTCTCTAGCCTAGAGTATCACCTGCTAGAAGCCTCTCCTGGCCTCTGCTTCCTTCCTTTGTTGCTGCTGGTCTTTAAGTGGGAATAAGCTGCATTTCATCCTCTGGGAAATGCCTCAAGTAAACCTCCCCCACTTGCCCATGCTCTTTCTAGGGTGGAAACCACCTGCAAGGCTTCCTGGAAGTTGAGATCATTCTTCCAGTAGGCATCTTACATTGTGTTAATCCATAGCAATAGTTTTCCTGAAAAGACAAAGGGAAGCAAAGGCAGCATTCTCTTCTTTCCCCATACCCATATACACGCCTGTGCTCCTGTAACTGAAGTGCGAGAGGCACAGTAAACAAGTAAATGGGTAGATAGTAAGTGGGGACTAAACTGCCAAGGGTGGACCATAGTAGTACTTCTGTGTGAATGCTTTGATGTGGACCCCTTAAGGTACTACATGGACCAGTCTGGCAACATGGTGAGACGACCCTGTCTCTACAGATTAAAAAAAAAAAAAAAAAAAGGCCGCGCCGTGGCTCTGCTCAATCCCAGCACTTGGGAGGCCGAGACGGGCGGATCATGAGGTCAGGAGATTGAGACCATCCTGGCTAACACTGTGAAACCCCGTCTCTACTAAAAATACAAAAACTAGCCGGGCGAGGTGGTGGGCGCCTGTAGTCCCAGCTACTTTGGGAGGCTGAGGCAGGAGAATGGCGTGAACCCGGGAGGCGGAGCTTGCAGTGAGCCGGGATCGCGCCACTGCACTCCAGCCTGGGCGACAGAGCCAGACCGTCCCAAAAAAAAAAGCTGCAGGATCACGCCACTGCCTCAGCCTGGGTGTGACAGAGACCCCGTCTCAAAAAAAAAAAAAAAAAAAAAAAGTACTATATGGAGATAAGCTTGAAGTTACTGTAAAAAAGCTACCTTTACTCTTACCCTAAGTTAGTTATTCTGACACATCCTATGTACAAGTTAGTTCAGTCCTCATATCTACTAAAAGCTACCTTATGCCCAAGGTGCTAGATGAGAAGACAGGGCCCCTGCCCTGGTAGAGCTGAGTTGGGCCTGGTCTCAAAATCCTGACTAGAGCCTGCTTTGTTTGCTCCTTGAAGGTGTTAGCCCAGCTCTCTGACTCTTATCTGCCCCTTCCCCAGGCTTTGGAGGAGAAAGTACGGACCACGGAGACACAGGTACTTGTGGCATCTGCACAGAAGAAGCTGCTAGAAGAAAGACTAAAGCTTGTCTCAGAACTGTGGGATGCTGGGATCAAGGTATGGGAGGCAAGCCCCAGGGTGGCAGCAAACTTGGGTGTGCTGGGCACAAACTGAATAAAAGCTCACCCGTAATGGATCCTGCCATTACTTCTCAAAAGTGGAGCTAAGAACAAGGTGCCAGCTTGGACACCCTCTGTCCCTGAGGACAGCAGAAGCCAGCCTTCCTCTTCTGCTCTTGTCCCCTGCAGGCTGAGCTGCTGTACAAGAAGAACCCAAAGCTGTTGAACCAGTTGCAGTACTGTGAGGAGGCAGGCATCCCACTGGTGGCTATCGTCGGCGAGCAGGAACTCAAGGATGGGGTCATCAAGCTCCGTTCAGTGACTAGCAGAGAAGAGGTAAGGGAAGTGGGCAGGAAGGCTAAGGGACATAGAATGTATGCCATTTTGGCAGGCCCATGCCCATTCAAGACCTGAGAAAAAGCCTGGCATTGATATTAGTACAACCATAAAAGACTTGAGAGCTTAACTTGTTACTGTAGTCTTAGTAGGGTGAGATCTCCATCCCTGCATATACCCTATGTTTTGTTGGCTCCCCCAAGAGGCACACTCTAGCCTGAGGTGTTTAATTAGGTTCCTGCTCCCAGCTGAGACTGATGCCTAGCAGGCTAGAGGAAACTAGGCACTCGGGCAGCAGTGGAATAGAAGATGCTTATACCGCCTCCTTCTCCCATCCTGGCCAGGTGAATGTCCGAAGAGAAGACCTTGTGGAGGAAATCAAAAGGAGAACAGGCCAGCCCCTCTGCATCTGCTGAACTGAGCAATCTATCAGAGGAAAGGAAGTGGGACTGGTACTATTTGAGGTTAAGACAAACTGCATATGTACTTCAACTGCTTTGCACTTTTCCGTTTCAGCAGGAAGACCTGAAGACTGGTCAGAACAGAGACTTTAATTTTTATTATGGTTATTTTATTGATTATTACTGGCAAAAATGGCCAGATACTACACCTTTTTCATACAAGGCCCTGGGGGCTTAGTCCAGTCTGTGCTCCTGGGCTACAATGGACCCAGCCTGAGATGGTCTCATCTACAGGGCCTCACACCAGTTGGAGCAGATGCCTCCCTACCAATTGCCAAAGGTCCAATAAAATGCCTCAACCACAGAGCCTGCGTGTCACTGATGCCTAGCCCCACCTTCCCCGGCAGACCAATGTAGGGATGGAAAAGGGAGAAAGACAGTAAACTTGTGACCCTGAGGTTCTTGTCTCCAGCGTCCACTCTGCGGCTTGGGAGCTCCTCCTCCTCGGGAGGCAGTCCCCATAGGTACTCACCCACTAATTTGCAGCTTTCACCTGAGGGTCTGAGCGAAGCCCGGGCGGCGCACGTGCAGTGGATACCTCCACCCCCTTGGGAGGCGGGGTCGCGCTCAGAGCCAATGAGAGCTTGCGGGGTGGAGGGGTAGGGAAGCTTCCAGAGGCTGGTGGGGAGGAAGTTATAAAGAGGGTAGGAGGGGGCCAGCGGGAGGGCCATGCAGTCCAAGCGGGATTGTGAGGTAAGCGGCTGGCGACTTGGGGGCCGGCGCCGGAGCGGGGGTCGGCTTTAGGGACCCCAGTACCCACAGAAGAGGTGGGGGGCGGACTTGGCGATCCGCCATTCCAACCTTCCTTTCCCTCTCAGCTGTGGTGTGAGAGGGTGAATCCAGAGAACAAGGCGGCGCTGGAGGCGTGGGTCAGGGAGACAGGCATCCGCCTGGTGCAGGTGAACGGGCAGAGGAAGTATGGCGGGCCACCCCCAGGTACGGTAGTCCCAGCCCCTCTGCCTGTCCGGCTACACCAACCCCCTTTGGGGGAGGGGCTGCCCCAGCCTTCACTGTCAGGAACTGCAAACTACCCGGATTTATATCCCCCAGCAAAGGAGGAACTGTGGCTCCACGTCCACCCGCCCCGTCGAGGGAGGGGGCCAATCTCAAGGTGTACCTACTCTGTGCCAGCCCCTTCGTTAGCGCAGTCACCTAATTATGCCAACCACCCAGGGTACGGGTGTAAGCCCATTTCACAAACCTTGGTTCCCATCGCTTCCCACCCCCGCGCGCTGGGTCCGTGGGCTCAGAATTCGAAAGCGTCGCCTGACGGTGGCCTTGCATACCCCCTTCCCACAGGCTGGGTGGGCAGCCCGCCGCCAGCTGGGTCAGAGGTATTCATCGGGCGGCTGCCTCAGGACGTGTACGAGCACCAGCTTATCCCGCTGTTCCAGCGCGTGGGCCGCCTCTACGAGTTCCGCCTGATGATGACCTTCAGCGGCCTGAACCGCGGCTTCGCCTATGCCCGCTATAGCTCGCGGCGCGGCGCGCAGGCCGCCATCGCCACGCTGCACAACCATCCGCTGCGGCCGTCCTGCCCGCTGCTCGTGTGCCGCAGCACCGAGAAGTGTGAGCTGAGCGTTGACGGCCTGCCGCTGAATCTGACCCGCAGCGCGCTGCTGCTCGCGCTGCAGCCGCTGAGTCCCGGCCTGCAGGAGGCGCGGCTGCTGCCCAGCCCCGGACCGGCGCCTGGGCAGATCGCTCTGCTCAAATTCAGCTCTCACCGGGCCGCTGCCATGGCCAAAAAGGCCCTGGTGGAAGGTAGGCTGTGGCCGGGGGCTGGTTGGGGCCAAACGCGTTCTGCCAGGCACTTTACACTGAGCATAGCTGTTAAAGTTACAAGATCTGAGTCAAACATGCCAGAATTTGCAACCCTTTACTATTTGATCTCAGAGTTTTAAAACTTCCAATGGTGCTGCCACCACCACTTACCTAAATTGGTAAGAGTTCCCGAGCATTATCTCCTGACTTAATCCTCAACATTCCCCCACACCCACACCGCATAATAAGCACAGGACCCTCAAGCTGTGAGGAAACTGTTAGAGAAATTGATTTGCTCAAGGGAACCCAACTGAGCCTTTTACTATAGTATTTGTTTCCTCAGACGGTTGTGAGAATTAAGTAACATAATGGGTGTATGGTATTTAGCATACTAACTGACTTACAGCAACTTTTGGCAGTAAAGATTAGCCATTATGATGGTTATGAGGCAGACAAAGCCTGCATTAACCAGTACTACTCCAAGGAAACTTGTAAGGTAGCAGTTGTGTTATACTCCCTTTGCAAATAATGGAGCCTGAAGGCTTGTCTTTTCTTACCTGTGGTCACACTACCAGGAAATGCGAAGGCTACACATTACAGGACTGTGTAGCTCCAAAGGGCTCACAACCTGGAGGCTTGGGCCCAGGGTTTGGACCTGCCCTTATCTTTACCTTTTTCCTGCAGGGCAGTCACACCTCTGTGGAGAGCAGGTGGCTGTGGAGTGGCTCAAGCCAGACCTGAAGCAGCGACTCCGCCAGCAGCTTGTGGGTCCCTCCTTGCGGCCCCCACAACCAGAGGGCAGCCAGTTGGCCTTGGCAAGGGACAAGTTAGGGTCCCAAGGGGCTCGGGCTACCCTGCAGTTGCTGTGCCAACGAATGAAGCTGGGCAGCCCTGTGTTCCTCACTAAGTGTTTGGGCATAGGACCTGCTGGCTGGCACCGCTTCTGGTATCAGGTGGTGATTCCTGGGCATCCGGTGCCTTTTAGTGGCCTCATCTGGGTTGTGCTGACCCTAGATGGCCAGGATGGGCATGAGGTGGCCAAGGATGCTGTGTCTGTTCGGCTGCTGCAGGCACTCAGTGAGTCTGGGGCCAGTCTCCTGTGGTCTGCTGGGGCTGAGGCAGGTACCATGGTTAAACAGTGACTCCATTCTCTCTCCACAGGCAGCCTGAATGGGCAGGCAGAGCCTGTGTCAGGCCCCAGCCCAGCAGGCCTGGGTGGCCACTATCTGACTCCCAAAGGTGGGGAGGGGCATGGGCCCAGGCCATCAGCCTCCCTGCTGGGACAGGGACCTACGGCACCTGGGGCAGCTTAAGTTTGGCTTAAGTTGTGGTGAGGGGCCTTGCTCTCCCCCTCCCAGCCCAGGGTCCAAGCTGACCCTGTGGTCTTCCATGGCCATTCCTTGTCCCACACCCACCCGATCATACCTTCCCCCCTCTGCCACAGCTTAGCATGAATCTTCTTCATTGTCCTGATTTGTCTTCTTTGTTGGTTTTTATTTGCGGGGAGGGGCAGCTGAGTCAAAGGGGTCAGAAATTCGCCCTTTGGCTCCACCACATGGCATTCTGGTTTTGGTTTCTGTGTAGTTTTGGGTCTTTCTATGCTGGTTGTATTTATATTAAACCCCTGGTTAGTATATACTTGTGTCTGTGCTATCTTGCCCTAGCTTAGAGTTTGTTTTATACTGATAAGAGTGAATAGCTGCTACGGGGCAAGTACTTCCTCATATCAGCGCTTTGAATGCATCTTCTTGTGCTGCACTGTAGGGTATTATAAATATATATCCAGTCCAGGCGTGTTGGCTTTTGCCTGTAGTCCCAGCACTTTGGGAGGCTGAGATGGGTGGATCACCTGAGGTCAGGAGTTCGAGACCAGCCTGGCCAGCATGGAGAAACCCTGTCTCTACTAAAAATACAAAAATTAGTCTGGCGTGGTGACGGACACCTGTAATCCCAGCTACTTGGGAGGCTGAGGCAGGAGAATCACTTGAAACCCAGGAGGCGGAGGTTGCAGTGAGCCGAGATCATGCCATTGCACTCGAGCCTGGGTAACAGGAGCGAAACCCTGTCTCAAAAAAAAAAAAAAAATTCATATCCAGCCAGGCACGGTGGCTCATGCCTGTAATCCCAGAATTTTGGGAGGCCAAGGCAGGAAGATCACTTGAGTCCAGGAGTTCAAGACCAGCTTGGTCAACATAGTGAAACTCCTAGTCTCTACCAAAAAAAAAATCACAAAAATTAGTCGAGCATGGTGGCACATGCCAAGTCTCAGCTACCAGGCAGGCTGAGGTGGATCACTTGAGCTGGGGAGGTCAAGGATGCAGTGAGCCATGATCAACCCACTGCACTCCAGCCTGGGTGACAGAGTGAGATCCTATCTCAAAAAAATTTTTTGGCCAGGTGTGGTAGCTCATGCCTGTAATCCCAGCACTTTGGGAAGCAGAGGCAGGTGGATCATTTGAGTCCAGGAGTTGTAGACCAGCCTGGACAACACAGACCCCTGTTTCTACCAAAAAAATTTAAAAATTAGCCTGGTGTGGTAGTGCACACCTGTAGTCCCAGCTATTCCAGAGGCTGAGGTGGAAGGACACCCCGAGCCTGGGCACATTGAGGCTGCAGTGAGCCATGATCAAGCCAGTGCACTCCAGCCTGGATGACAGCAAAACCCTGTCTTTTAAAAAAATAATATCTTCTCTGGGGATGCAGCTCAATAAGCAAGACTCTTGCCTGGTGAGGACCTGTCTTGAGATTCAATTCATTCCCTCAGTCACTGTCATCCCCAGTCTCCTCCTCTTCTTCCTGAGCCATGGAGTCTTCTCCCTCTTCCCTCAGTCCTGCGAAGAAGTCATCAGTGCTCCAAGTCTTGCTGCTCAGAGCCCGCAGTGGTCCTCCCTTTTTTTTGCGCCGACGGTAGTCATCCACCACCACAGCTCGCAGCTGGGCCATGTCCCAAAACTTGAGGCGCTGGTCATGGCCGCTACTGGCCAGGAAGCGGCCACAGTGGGAAAGGGCCAGCTTCTCCACAGGCTCCCCAGGGTGCTGGCCCACACTGCCCACCACTCGGTTCGGTAGGATGTTCACAGCCCTGGGCAGGGAAACAACAGTGTTGAGTACTGGCTAACTGGGTCTGCCCTTCCTGTGACCTAAGGGCTGTCCAGGCTTCCCTCACCTGATGACTCCATCGGTGGAGCCAGTACACAGCAGACTCTCAGTGACTGGAACCATGCAGTCGATAGATTCAGCTCTCACGGCAAAGCGGTCACTTGTGGCCCCAAAGCCATTCCAGTTGAAGAGGTAGATGGTACCTTCACTGGAGCCACAGGCCACCTTCTTCCCACACTGCAGGGAAATAGGGAAAACGATGTGGAAGCTGCCTTAGACTAAGCCCCCAGCATACACCCCTCCATCCCACCATACCCAGCTATACTTTCATAAGGGTGACAGAGGTCAGATCCCCAGACTGAGGCTCTGAGAGCAGCTCAAACCGACGCCTCTTAACATTGAAGATGCCAAGGCAGCCATCCCCACTGTAGAGAGTAGAGCAATAGGCTTAGACACAAGGTCCATGTGAGGAAGACATTACACAGGGAGAGGAGGGGAGGCAAGGCAGATTTGAGGTTGTACCTGGCTGTCAGCAGCAGCTTCTTGGCTGGATCCAGAGCCATGTCTGCGATGTACTCTTCATGTTGCCTCATATCCATTAAGGGGCCTTCCTTCCGCTGGTCCCAGAGACGGATACCACCCGTGTCATCCCCAGTGGCCAGAACATTCTCATCCACCAGCAGAAGACTGTTGATGGGGGCACTAGAGACACAGATGTAGAACTTCTTGGAGCATCTCTGTCCCAGTGGGGACCTCCTGGTCCTTACCCTTCACCTCCATGCACATACACAGAATTGGCTGCTCTCCTTACCCATGAGCCTTGGAAACACGTCTTTCTAGTCGGCCCTGCTCCACATCTAGAACATGGATGGCTTTGTCCTTGGAGACAGTAACAAGCTCTGGGGAAAAGGTGCCCAGGTCATGGTGCTGCTCACTGCTCCCTTCCACTACATTGCTGGTTGTCTTCCCCAGTACTCACTCTGCCCATCTTCAGAGAAGGCCACAGCTCGGCAGGCCTTGAGATGGTGACCCGATGACCATAGCTCCTTGGTTTCTCCCTCTTGGCAAGAGTAGGAAAAGCTGGGGAGAGGGGAAGGAGAGTAAATGACTCCAGAACCATCCTGGGTTGCACTGAGTGCAGAGACCAACTAGACAGAGCAGCCTTCCCACCTACCTAGGAGTTCCTGCTTCTACACCTCCAAGCCCAAAGTTTACCATCTCATTTTTCCACTTTCAGTGAGTTTGAAATGTTAGGTCTTGCTTTTTTCAATATATATTAATTCAAGGTATATTTGCTCAACATTTCTTTGTGATCCCACCCAACCCCCTTTATCATCTTTGAAAGCCCCAGCCTGGACAACGATTGGGTCTGGACCACTGTGAAGGAAATATTTCTTACATCAATGACAAAAAACCAGCCCCAGAAGTTAGAAATGTAAAAATCAGTACGGTAGAGCAGGCTCTTGCACTTCAGGTCTGCAGGAGCTACAGAAAGCCACAATTACAGTACATTGAGAGTACGTGCTAAAAAAGAGGCAGGATCAAAATGGAGGTGGGGAAGAGGTACCAGCCTGTAAACAACTTTGAGGTGAGTACTGTTTACGGAATACCCCCAGTGCCTGCCTCAGAGCAGATCCTCAAAAAGGGCAGAATGAATACATGCTTAATTGCCAGTAAGTTCCAGGTGGGCAGAACTGAGCCTGCTCATTTTCTCTGTCCCAGTGCCGAACATGAAAAAGTAGCTTAATAAACATTCACAGATTGAATGAATACTTGGGAAGGGAGAAGAGAGCCCTGGAAAGCTAAGGTGGTGACATGTGGGTTGGATCATACAAGAGTAGAGTTTACCTGGCCAAGAGCAAGGGCCAGATACTGGAGGCAGCAGAGATAAGGAATGAGGAGGGTTCCTTGTAGCAGGAGAGTAGCATGACTGAATCTGGAAAGATGGGCTGGGGTGGGCATGAGACCACGTGAGCCAAGTAGAAGTTTGAATTTAATCCTCCGAAAGGGAACCTCTTCACAATAGTCATGGCTGAGGGTGGGGAAGGGAAGAACCAAGAATTTTCCTCCAGAACCTTTTTTAAGACAAGGGAAGCAACAAAGTTGTGTGGAATGTGAAGAAAGGTAGATGTATAGGGCAACTCCCAAGTGCCTGGCACCATAAATATGGATAGTAGTAGAAGGGAACTGTAAAATTGCACTGTACTGCAAATTTGTCCCCTCTGCAAGGGTAGGTATAATTCCCCTTCAAAGATGAAAATACAGAAGTTAACACGCTCAAGGCCATTACAGCTAACGGGGGGGGGGGGGGGGGGGGGGGTTGAGGTTTAAGTTCATTAAGTAAATCTGATAAGCACAGCATCTTCAAGTTTTCCACTGCCTCTAACTTGTATCTTTTGTTCAAAGTCAAACACGTATTGAGCACCTACCCTAAACTAGAGGCTGGAGATAAAATAGAGAACAAAACTGACGACAGATTACACTCCAGAACAGTGTTTCTTCACATTCTAGTCATATAACAGACTGGTAAGCTACAATCAGCATTTTGTGTACATGCACACAATAATAGAATAAAATCAGAAATTGTATAAGCATATATAATGTAAAAGGTATTTCTCTGAGAGGCAAGGTCAAAGACATTTGAAAAACATTAGTGAAGGAGACAGCATTCAAATAATTACACAAACGGATGTATGGTTACCAATCATTCATTACTAAGGGAAAGGTACCATGTCACCTGGTGTCATGGCAGCATCTAATAAGTAACCAATTTTAGTCTGGGGATAGAGGAAGAGGGAAGAGATCCTGGGAACTCAAAGATAGTAGGTAAAAGTGAGGAGAAAGGAGTTTTCCGGACAGAATAGCATGTGCAAAGGGGCTGACGTTTCGAGATTTTTTTATTTTTATTTTTCTGAGACGGAGTTCTGCTCTTGTTGCCCGCTGGAGTGCAATGGCACCATCTCGGCTCACTGCCTCCCAGGTTCAAGCTGGGAGATTCTCCTGCCTCAGCCTCCCGAGAAACTGGGATTACATGCGCCCGCCACCACACCCAGCTAATTTTTCTATTTTTAGTAGAGACGAGATTTCACCATGTTGGCCAGGCTGTTCTCCAACTCCTGACCTCAGGTGATACCCCACCTGGTCTCCCAAAGTGCTGGGATTACAGGTGTGAGCCACCACGCCTGCCCCAAGATATATTTTTAAAAGGTATGGATGAATGAGCACAGATGGTCAGGGCGTTGAAAGCGAGATTGAGAAGTTTGTACTAAATCCTAAAAGCAGACCATTGAAGGGTTTTAATCAAGGGAGTGTCTGCTCAGATTTATGTTGTTTTCTTTTTGGTTTTTTTGTTTTTTTGTTTTTAAATGGAGTCTCTGGCACCAGCCTGGACTGCAGTGGCGCCATCTCAGCTCACTGCAACCTCTGCCTCCTGCGTTCAAGTGATTTTCCTGCCTCAGCCTCCCAAGTAGCTGGGACTACAGGTGTGTGCCACCACACCCAGCTGATTTTTGTATGTTTAGTAGAGACGGGGTTT